ATTTTTGAAAAACGAAAGGATTTGTTCGGTTTTCGATTAACCTATAAAAAGACTGATGGTTAACCGAACCGATCGGTATATATATTTATATGTATATTTTATATATATTTTTAATATATGTCACATATTTTCTATGTATTTATATAAATATATATTCATTGTATATAAATACATACCTATATTATATTTATAATGATCTATTTAAAAATATAATATATATTTTTAAAATATTTATAATATATTATATGTCATTTATTATTTATAATATAATATTATACATATATTTATATAATATATATTGTAAATATAAAAAAACCAAAAAATCGAAGAACTGAACTGATCAAAAACCGAAACTGGCGAACTGGTTAATCGGTGGTAACGGTTTGATTTCGGTTTAACGAAATGAAAAAACCAATACCACCGGTTTGGTTTACAAAAAAGGGGCCATGATTCGGTTAACCAAACCGTGGACACCCCTAATATATACCTCACAACAACATCCCATACTACCGATGTGGGATACCTTACATTAACATCCCATACTATCAACAAGGGACAAATGGATCGTAACATATTTCAGATGGAGAAACAGCCAACACCTTAAAATTTTATTAAAATCAAACCGCTATCAAAAAGATGCAGTGGGGGACATAGCCCACCTTGCTTTTAGAATTTTATTAAAAGCAAATCTCTTTGTCCAAAAAAAAGGATTAATAATAACTTTAGAATAGAGCAAAAAATAGAGAAAAGGTGGGTAAAGAAGAGAGATAGGAAAAAGGAATTGGGGAAGAGAGTTCCGCTGATGAAATTTGCACCTTCAAGTCCTTAGGTTTAGTTTGGAAGGAGTACAAATATAAAATATATAATTTTATACTCTACGTATTTGTATTTATATTCCTTCCAAACTGAGTCTTATTTTCGTCCAAAACAAAGAAAGATAAGGTGAATTATGATCATGAGAATAATGAAAACGAAGAGTTGGGAATCAAAAGAAAGTACGTCATCAACCTAATTTCTTAGTTGAACATGATTTAGGTGTCCATCGAATGTGGGCATCGGACGTTATATATATAGCAAGTTTCATGACTCTAGGAAAGGCCGTCAATCCATCATATGTGGCCAAAAACAGAGAAATAGAGTCATCTGACGTGGCCAATAGAGAGAAATATACAAATATAATTCGTTACTGGGTTTTGGACATGAAAATTTTGATTTATTATTGACAAAATAACGTGAATTAAAACAATTAATTATTACAGGCTCTTGCTTCTTGTACAGGTATATCCCCCAATCAAAACCAGCCTTCGTCGATGGGGCTGAACTTGATTCGTAGATGTGGCACGACGGCTGCATTCTCGCTGCAGCCAGTAAAGATTTGTTACAAGTCTTGTAAGGTGAGTGGCTGATTGAAGTCAATCTCTTATCTATACTCTCTTTTTAAAAATTTTTCTTTTGGAATTTAATTGAACGCGTAGAGTGAATTCTTTGTAAGTGGGGGATATACCTGTACAAGCAGGGGTGTCACCGGCTTTGGGTTGGACTCCGTCCAAATTAAAATTCATTTGGACCGATTGGACGGACCAATAACACATTTTGAATTTTGATGGATTGGACGGACCAATATGACATATTGGATTGGACCTGGTCCGTACATAATGAATTTGTATTGGATTGAGCCAATATCTGATCCATTGATAGAAGATAAGAACATAGGTGTCAATAAACCAATCTAAATCAACAGGAATTTGAACGGACTGGCCCAAAATAGTTTAAAATATTCATTGGACTGGATTGGACCAGGTCCATTTGTAATGGACTCACATTAGACTGGACCAGATTGCACCAAATCTAGTCCAATTGACACCCCTATGTACGAGAAGGATCCCTGTGTGGCCTAATACCATCAATTTGGATCTGTTAGCTGGAAACACATGGTGAAGTGAACATGGTATCCGATTAGGTTCCTAACTATGGATACCAATTAGAATTGGTAAGGTAATGCAGTAAGAACCGTGACTAAAAAGGGAAAATTCCCGATCAATACCCGAATTTTAAAATGCGACAATCAAGTATCTAAACTTTCAAAATGTGACAATTCAATATCCAAACTTTCAAAATGTGACAATCCAGTACCTTCCATTAATCAGCCGTTAATTAACATTTGAAAAGTCAAAAATGCCCTTCCAAGGCCATCTAATTCTCTTTACCAACCATTCAAACGTTGACAAAAAAATGAACATTCCCAAATCTTAGCCTCTTCTATTCAAAAAAGCTGGTGATTGTTTAGAAGAATCTAAAATTTGGGATGTTCATTTTATCATCAATGCTTGGATGGTTGATAAAGAGAATTAGATAGTATTCGAAGGGCATTTTTGACTTTTCAAATGTCACTTAACGGTTGGCTAATGGACTAATTAATGGTACATATTGGATTGCCACATTTTGAAAGTTAGGGTACTGGATTGTCACATTATGAAAGTTTAGATACTGGATTGTCACATTTTAAAGTTCAGGGACCAAATTAGAACTTTTTGAGACTACAAATTATACAAATTAGAACTTATTGAGAAGCATCAATGTTACAAGCAAGAAAGACTACATGATTCTCCTGAAGTATATTATATGAATATATAACGCAAAGGCATTACTTGTCAAATTATAACAAATCAATACTAAATATTTTCAATATTTATATCTCCATTAAGACGACATAGATGACGGTGGCCTATGTAATAGTGGCTGTTCATTTAGTTGTGGTATAACATTGTTCTCTGCACTTTTATCTCTGGTTGAAGTTGAACCTGCACTTTTATCCAGGGGCATTTAAGACTTTGTGACATGGTTTTCAAAACCACTTCTTGAATTTTCTTCTGAGGCCATGTTCTTTTTTTGAAATTACATTTACCTGGGTAAGTGCATTTATTCATGTTCTGTTTTTGTTTGATTTACCCAGGTAAATGATGTCGTGTTCTTTCTTTTGCAACACCAACACCCACTTTCTTGGGTAAATTGTTATTTTTTTCATCTCTTTCCAATTTTACCCTTTGGACATGGATTTGAAAACCATGTCACAAAGTCTTAAATGCCCCTAAAACTTTTGGAAATAAACCATGCTGCCTTTTCTTTTAAACCCAATTTGAGCCTAATTCAAGTTTTTCCTCTAGAACAATAGAAGAAAACACCATCTGCCATTATTTTGGGCTCAAATTTTGGGCATTTAAGACTGTTGTCATAATTTTTGGTTTTCTTTATGAAAATCAAACTAGTTCTGATTATTTAATGAACCATTGAATTTTCACAAATAACAAGTAGCAGAGGAGAGTTTAAAATGTCAATGCTTATAAGATCATGTCAATCCTTTGACCTTCAAAATCACAGTTACAAAATGTGAGTCTAAATTACTTCCAATAAGCAACATACACCAAAATTACATGGTTGGGGCTTTTCAAGTACAGCCAGATATACAGTTCTCTATCAAAGAAGAACAACAGAAAATGAGAAAAAGGAATAAAAATTCTCCATGGACCATAGTGAAGGCACATATGGAACACCTCAGCGCATTGCCTGGCTTCACTTGGCACAGCTGAATCATATATCAAGATGCCTTCTTCAGCAACAGGTCAATGATCAACTCATCCAAAATCTTGAACCAACAAAGTCCTGGTTGGTAGCAGAACCACGGCTAGCTAGTTGCTGAATGAGAGAAGAGAACTCTCCAGCCTGCTATGAATTTTAGCCATTAGGGCTCAAGCCATGGAACAAAATACAGCATATACAATCAAGGAAAATACCATGTTTTCTGCACAAATGCCTGGAACAATGAAACATGGGAATTCTACAAGCTCAATTTGGAAGGAATACAATCTTGTTCTTATTCACACAGGAAATTTCTAGATTAAGTCACCTACAATCAGAAAGTTGGGTAAAAATTAAATGGCAAAAAATGATAAACCTTGATGAGATGGGCCAAAGTACAACACCAGTTCATGAGAACTACTTCTGATTGTTTCCAGAATCAGTGGAGCTGCATCATTTTTTGAACATGCTGTATATGTCATGTGGATATTATAGTCATACTTGTATGTAAATTCTGAGGATTCCTCACCCTCTTTACAGTACTACAATACTTTTTTTTTTCCGTTTACTAAAAAAATGTCAACCAGTAATGCAGCAAAAGCTCTAGTCTGTTCTTAACATAGAGGTTTATTCACTTTACTTAGGAAGGATTCGTGGCCATATTAAGTGAGGCAGAACACTGGTTTTGGGTTAAGCCTTTCTGTGCCAGTCAACCAAACCAAGCCATAGTAATTGGTATGGCCTCTTCTGGGCTGCCATTCTGAGAGAGGTCTATTCACAAAACATTCCATCTTTGAATCCATCCATCCTTCCTAGCTAGAATCATTAAATTTAAACTCTATCAAGTCGAATTTAATTTGTATAGTTAAGTCAGAAGAAGACCAAAGTTGGTCCACCCACCCTAAAGTGGCCACACTACCCTCAAAGAATTGAATACCCAGACCAGATGTAGAAAGTTGAGTAGAAACCTCTAGTTCTCTGCTGGTACCCAAAAGAAATAATGCCTTGAAAAAGGTTCAGAGAATTAATTAATTTGAGGCTTCGTATAAGAAGAAGATAGAGAGCCCTTCATTCAACTAATTACTATCTAGAGTGAACAAGAAAGGAAATCATAGAAACCTATCCCCATGATGAACTGCAAAATGAAGTGGAACTAAGCTTAGTGTTGCTCATCACAGAAAACATCATGCAGGCATTCACATGTACGTGAAGCATCTAATGGTGGGTTCTGAGTCCTGGCCATATAAATGCCCAACACATGGAAAGTACCACTCTGGACGACAGTAGTACTGTAACAGCAGGAATTCTTCCTCTCCCCAGATGAGGAGGTTCTCCACTGCTGACCACCCTACTTCACTGGCATTGCTAATTTCAAACCCCACAAATAACTGGCCATATATCTAATCAAAAACCGAACCGGTTAATTAGACTGTTACAAGGATCTGTTGATGATGTGCTTCGCTATGTAGAACCAGATTGCCATCATCAACCCTAGTCAGTTTCCAAGCTCTATCGGCTTCCTGAAACCAATCAGTTTGAAGGAGAAAATACACCATTGATAACAGACAACAAGCCTCAGCTGTCAACAGTCCTAACCACAGCCCCAAGAACCCAAACCCAAGGTGGAAAGCTAACAAGATGGCCAGAGGAATTCCCAAGAGAAAAAATGCAGCAGAGTTTATATTAGCTCCTAGTCTGGGCCTGGCACATCCCCTCAGGACTCCACAACCAGTTGTCTGTGGGCAATTGAAGAGCTCGCAGAGGCCTATGATGGGCAAAACCGTGCTGGTTAAGTCAAGAATTTCACTATCACCTGTAAACATCTTCCCCCATACGTAGCCGACCCCAGTTGCAAAAGTTATTGAGAGAAAACCCAAGAAGGACGACAGGAGTAGAGCAACAACCATGACTCTTCTAGCTTTCCAAGGCATGTTAGCGCCCAGTTCATTACTCACTCTAGTAGACACCCCGAAGCTGATAGATGTTGTTTGTATTAATACCCCCGTGGCTGCAACCTTTGGCTTAGGATCTGAGAGCAACCCACATAAGATGATCATGAATTCATACCACCACCACTCCAAACAGACTGACAAACAACTTGGGATCGCCAGTCCCAATATGGTCTTCCACCAGTAAGGCACTCTAGTGTCTTATATAAGTGACTTATATATAAGAAATTAGATTTGGTGCTTACAAAATTATGCTTATACTGTTATTACAACCCTTTTTAACAGTGTATTGACAGCATTCCCTATAAATAAAAAGATATATTCCCAATGGAAAGCCAAAGAAAAGGCTGTAAGAACCGTGTGAACACAATTTTGTGAGGACTGAATCTGCTCTCTGTATATAAGGACTTAAGAGTGGCACCTAAACTATAGGGCATTGAGCTCAAGCCTGTTGTTTTATTGAAGTTGGAGTTGACTTAGGGATGCGACTCTTGAGAACCTGGGCCCCACAAAGTGTAATACTAATTTCAGTGGTTTCTACTTTCTCCTTTCTAGAAATCAAAAACACAATCATCGATTCTCATTTTCTGTAATAGGCTTCAGCTCCACAATTAGTTCATCAGAAGATACAGGTAGGACCCAGCAAAGAGAGGGGAACCATTACTTGTCCATTCATAAACAAAACAAAAAAGAAAAGGAAATTAAAAGAGTAAATTGAACCAGCGCAGTTTTCAATGGATTCTAGGAACATTGATTGGAGATCAGAGTTTTGCTGAGTTTGAATGATTCTTTTCTCACAAGTCACAAACCCAGTAAGGCACTCTAGTGTTTTCAAACGGCCTCTTACTCAAGGTAATTTAACAGCTGGCTAGTGAAGCCCATAATCCAAGCCCACTGACTGCCTAAACTTTACCAATCAGAGCTGTCCATTAGATAGGGTGAAATGTTTACTCCCTAGTCCACATCATCCCCACAGTACCTGCCTACCTGGAGTTTTCTTTCTCAAAGTGATATGAAAGCTACAAAGCTTCATTTCTTTTCCAATTTTCACCCAATAGTGTCTCATGGTATTATTATGTCTGGAGGCAGTGATATGAAAGCTACCTGGAGATCCAATTTCCAATCCAAGCCCAGTGAAGCTACAAAGGTTCAAAGTGATATGGAAGCTTCAAAGCTTCGAATCTTTAGAAACCTTTTTCTTCTTGTGTCACTATCTGTTTTCCCCCCTTATCAAATCCTTTGGTTCTGATGAAAGGATTTGGTTGTTGGATCCAATAGGAGTCCTCTTGTTCTTTTTTCATTAAAACTCTACTTTGAGTCTTTGCCAACTAGAGTGGTTTGGTTAGTTTCTTCTTCTACTACTACTAGGGCTACCTGGTAGATGTTTATTGTGTTTGCAATTTAGGAGATTGAATACTTTGAATTGGACAATTTTCATGCCAGTGTTATGATGGATTGTTGAAATCAGATTTTGTTCTACCCATGTAAAAGAGGAAAATATGATAGGTAATTGAGAAAATTGAAACATGATCCAGTGGTGTGTTGGGATTTAACTATTATCAGAACTTATTGTTTTATCCATTTAAAAGAACTAATTTGGTTATATATTTTTTTTCCTTCAAAGTTCTTTATGCTCTCTAAATCTGATTTTCTTTCTTTTTTTTTTCAGAAGGAATTTAAGGGACCAAGAATTTGGAGGGATGTATTGTGCAGTATTAACAGTAAAGTAAGAATTTCTTTTCTCATGTCTTTTTCTTGTACCTTTTTAGCTCATCTGTGGTTTCAGTTGGAATTCTTCGTATTTTTGGATGAGAAATTGCTGAACTTCCCTTGGTTGCTACAAGCAAGGATAATCAGGGACAGGTTATCTTTTTCACTTCATTAATAAAATAGTTGATTGCCTTACCTATTTTCAAAAAAAAAAAAAATTCAGTAGGAATGTTGTCATGGTTATCTTTTTTCCCCTTTTTTAAACTAGCAAAAGAGGGAAAAATCCTGACCATTTTCTTCTCCTGAGCTTCTCTATAGGGCTACTTCCAGTCATTGTTCTCTTGCATTGAGAGGTTGCTGGAGTTCCTAAATATGAAGACACTTGTCCTACCTGCAGCTGATGAAGCAGAGTCCATATGTATATATAATTATATATACATATTTTATTTATATGTTTGTTTAAGGGTTTATGAGAGAATGGTTTGACGAGGATGAAGATTAGTTTTTATTAAAAATTAGAATGAACAATGAAGAAGATGTGGTAAGTTGGACAATCAAGATCCCAAAATCAACATACAAATTCCTTCAAAGAAATAAAAAAAAAAAAGAAATCTCAGATGTGATTATTTGATAAGCTTTCGCCATCAAATAAGCAATCACTTGTTCATCCAACACACAGTGCTCGGAAACCATTAAAGATAAATCCACCTTTAAAAATCTAGTTTGGATTAATCGTATTATTCCTTGTTCAAATTTATAGATGATCACTCCTAAAATTCAGGATACCACCCGGAGGCTGAGCTTCACAGTAGCATCTATTTCCAATATGCATATTTATACAGAACATTCAGGATATTTCAGACAAAAAAAGAAAAAATTGTAGAAAACACAGGAATTGATAAGAAATCACAAAATATGTTTCAGACAAAAAATAGAACCTTGGAAAAAACAGAGAAATTTATTAAAAATAAATATATTGCATTAAAAAAAACAGAAATTCAAAATAAACTGAGAAATTGATAAAAACACTACAAGAAATATGACCTTTAGCTACAGACAAAACTGTGGCTAAATGTCAACAAAACCGTAGCTATAGACTTATAGCTATGGACAGAAAACCATAGCCTATGTTTGCGTGACTATAGCCTATAGCTACGGTTCAACTGATCCGTTGCTATAACCCATCTATAGCTACGGTATCTGTCCGTAGCTAAAGGCCAAATGCATACCATATGAACCTTTAGCAATGGATTGAACCGTAGCTAAAAGATACATATAGCTACCGCTTTTATATTGTCCGTAGTTATATATCCAAATCTATAACCACGAATTTTTACAAAACCGCAACTATAATTCTTCTATTTATAGCTACGGTTTGTTACATAACCGTAGCTAAATGTACTAATCTATAACCATGTTTTTTTTGTTAAAACTGAAGTTAAATACTCTAACCTATAGCTACGGTTATTTGACAAACCATGACTAAAAGATGCAATATATGCCCAAAAAATCTTGGAAAAACATAGCTAATTGTTTCAATATATGGAAAAACTATAGCTATATTCCAAATAAAATAGTAAAATTATGACAATTAGGAATGCCACCTTAAAGAAATACCTATTTTATTCAATTATTCATACATCACATGAAAATTATATAATAACTTCTTTCAAATACTTATTTTATTGTAATAATTCAATACATGCCACATAATTTGAATACATCCACTGCTCTACCAAAAAAACACATCCATTGTTTAAAATGTGTATTACAAATGTCAAATTTCCCTCAATACATATTAAAGTCTACATGACTTGCAAAAAAATAGTGACATTTTAAATATAAAAGAATTATCCATTGTTTTCAACTATGCTTTAAGAGTCACTCCTTGCATCTTTAACCTACAAAGAAAAACAAAAAAAAAAAAAAATAGAACAATGACTACTTTGATGATCTAGTTAAATATGCAATATACAATGAAAAAATGTGAATATAGGTAACAAAATCCACTATTATTTTGTTTAATGCAAGATAAATTTTAAAATTCTAATGAACATGTAAAAAATGTCTTACAAGTGCCAATTTGTCTTACTACATATAATAAACCATAATAAAAATGAAAAATATTGATCTCAATCACTTCATCCATGTAGTTACTCCTTACATATGCTTCCAACCTGAAAAGCAAAATAAAATAAAAATTAGTATTTTTGCATTAATATATATGAAAATTTCAAATATAAATTATATGGTTTGAAGAAAAGCAAAAAATGTCTTACATATGCATCCATAAAGAACACTGCAACATAGCTCTTAGAAATTAGCAATTAGAAATATTTAGAAAATGTAACATGTCTCTAACTACCTGCCAGATATTGACTGTTTCCCTTCAACCCAGCTAAAAGTTTATGGTAATTTCATTAACTCAAAACTAACCAATAGTTCCTCATAAAGTTTGCTTATAATAAATATTTGGTCCATATATGGAAATCATATTGCTGGTCAAGACTTGGAAGTTGTGGCTCAGAATATAGACCCCTAACTCCACCTACAGGCTACAGGGTTCAGTCACTAGGTCCATTTCTCAAGAGCAAAAAGGAACACCCATATATTTATCCATCTGCACTTGTAGTCATACCACAGAATATGACCATAAATCATACCATGAACATATATTTTCCCTGTTATGCATGGGTATCTTAATACCTAAGTTTCAATTAAATGTAAGAAAAGATGCCCACCCATATTAGCTGAGTAACATAACAAGTGCACTACAAAAGCTTGAAAACACCAAAAGAAATAAGAATTGGACATTTAAAATGAAATGCACCTTAGGTTTGATGAGACAGTGTCCATGAAATCATGGACACACTTAGCTTCAGAATACACATGAGAGGCTCGTTGGAATAACCATTAAGCAAGTCAGAAGATCAACTTGAAGAACATAGTTGCCATTCATCTCAAACGTAAAAAAAGGTCATATTCATAATATCAAATTAACTAATTTTAATATCTATTCCAGAATTTCTTATAGATAATTTGGCATAAATCAAAGCAAACTTAAATGCAAAGCACTTCAGATTTTGAAACTTGATCATACATTCATCAAGGTAATCCACAAAGCTTAAAACTAAAATCATATAACTAGCAACAATAACTTAATTTCAAAGATTCTATTACTAGTTTATTAGAACATATGGTAATTGATATCAAAGTTTTAAGACCTGGACCAGACCGGATGTTCGAACCATTAGACCCAAGAACAAGAGACC